CTCCGGAGGGTGGTACCCCGCCCCGGCCTCCCCAGGAGACGGCGTCCAGCCACAGCCCGCCCCGGGTCTTCGGGGTCTCCCTCCTGGGTGCCCTGCTCTTCGGCCTGTTGTATGCCCCTCAGGCGGGCCTCGGCGTGGCCGCAGGCTTGAGACCACTTCCACGTTCACTCTGTGCTGCCGCTTGCCTGCTTTCCTCTCTCTTTGCCTGGAAAATGTTTCTCTCTTTCATCCTGAGTGAGTAGGTTTTATTTCCGTGAGCGAATTCCTTTCTATTTATTGTGGTGGTTTGTAGGGTTTTTGCAGTGTTTATTTTCAGTCAGTCCCTCCCCTCACCCTGTTCTTACATACACGGTGTCTCTGGACCTGACCCTACTCTCCGTCTGCTAAGTGGGGAAATCCCTGCCGCAATTCAGTGAGTCTGGGTCCTTCAGAGTCGCAGCTTTGTACCTCTTAAGACTGATTTAGTATTTTGTTGTGGCCAGACTGAAAGGCGGCGTCCGAATTAGATAGGACTCCCCAGGGGCCCTGATGTACGTGGAGTAGGACGTGACCTTTGTGTTTTTGATGTGCTGCTGGTCAGGTACTGATTATGATGGATGTTGACAGTTTTTTTCTCGTTATGATAGAAGCTTAGGAGTTCTTTCTCTCAGAGGTGTCAGTATAAGCTGGAAGATGCCTATGAAAAGAGCTTTCATACAGCTATTAGAGAAGAGTCATTTCCCTTCCAAAGCCCTTTCCCAGTGCTCAGAACAAACAGGAAGCCCCGGTGGTGAGCGCTGGGCTGCCCGGCGGACCCCCCCCCCGCAGCGGACAGTGTGCGTCTGTCTCATGTGGCCAGAGTGCGACCCAGCCAGTGACCGCGTGTTCCTTCTCTCCCTCCACCTTCCCAAGGTCACCTTGGATCTTCAGAGCAGCACCGAGAAGTTCGGGGGGTTTCTGCGCTCTGCCTTGGATGTCCTCTCTCAGGTCCTGGAGCTGGCGACTCTGCAGGACATCGGGAAGGTTGGTGCTTGGCTTCTCCTCGCCGAGCTGCGCTGCCGCACTTGGCGCGGGGCCCTGCGGGGGCCGCGTCATCCTGGCGTGTTGGGAAGGCGGGGCCTGCAGGTATGGCGCCCGGGTGTGATCCTGCTCTTGGCCTCAGACTGGGGCGGGGATTTCTCTCTGTGTCCTGTTTTCACTGTTTTCTGTATATCAGCTCAGACCCAGTGAAATTTAAAAATTGGTGGGTTTAGAAACCTGCTGACAGAGTCCTTCATCTTACTGGACCTTCGCACCTGGAGAGGTCAGCGCAGTCTAGGGGGTGTGGCTGGCTCCTTTGGGACCTTGGGTGATGGCAGAGCCGTGCTCGAGGCGCGTGTACTTTGGCTCCAACCCCCGCCCCACCTGACTTACACGGAGGTGGCCGAGCGTTTGGCGTGGTGCGCCCGTCCGTGTGTCCACGGCCCAGGTCCCGCGGCTCACGCTCCGCCCGTTTGCCTGGCTGTGTGTGTATCCGCCTGCCGTGAGTCACCGGCAGCCTGTGTTAAACTCGTCTCCTTTAAGTGGAGACTAATGAAGTTCGTTTGTCTCCGTTTTTCTGAATCTCTCTTTGACACGCGTGAAGCTCACCTCGTGGTGATCGTTACCCACGTCACCTCACGTTTCTCCCCGGCCGTCCTTGCAGGTTCCCGCACATGAGTTGAGTGGTCGGAGCTGTGCTTAGTCTAGGGCCGATGACTCCCCAGCGAGCAAGGCCTTCCTGGGCTCAGGTTACTGCGGGCCCTGCCCGGCCCGGGGACCGGCTGCCGTCCCCAGCCCCGTGGGAGCACTGGGCGCTGCTCCCCCGGTTGCCTCTGATGAGTCCCCCGGCCTCGGGCGGTTTCCCTGCACACGTGTTGTTTGGTTCCCTGTTGCACACTCAGCGTCTCCCCGGGTCTCCAGTCCTTGTCCCATGAACTCTCATTATTTCCATGTCCCCAGCTCTCGGCTCCTCGCCCTGGGGTCCCCGGGGCTCTGCTCTGCCCCTCTTCCTGCGACGTGGAGGCTCTCTGAGGGCAGGGGCCGGGCGGCTATGGGGCTCCCTGGGCTCCGCTCCCACCTCTCCGACCTCTCTGCCTTCTGTTCAGGGTCTTGGAACTGTGCTTTCGTATGTTGTGTGGGTGTTTTTGGTTGTCTGGGTGGAGGGTAGATCTGGTCCCTCTTGCCCCATATCGGCCAGAAAAGGAGGCCTCTCTGTTCCATTGTGTATTAATACTCGTGCTGGGGACACGCTTCCGTGTTCCTCTGGACACTCAGGAGGCTGCTAACAGCAACCTTTCCTCCCCGTTTTCAGTGCCCAGCTCAGTCTCTGGGGCGCACCGAGCGCCCTGTGCACGGTTGTTAGCAGAGACGGCTCCTCGGAGCCTGGGTGTGACGTGCAAGGGCCTTGCCGTACTTCTTCCCTTCCTAGCCCGTCGGACACCTGCTGTGAGCTGGGGGCATGCGAGGCTCAGCCCTGCAGAGGTTGGCCGAGTCTGTTTGGAGTAAACCAGGATATTAAAAATATTTGGCCGGGAGTATCTGAAACCAGCAGAAGTCTGTTGCTTCTGAGTGCAGGAAATTATACCAAGCAAATGAAGTGAGAGGCGTCTCCAGTCTAATTTGTGTGGTGGAAGCAGTGGTGGTGACCGGGTGGCAGTGAGGGGCCGGTGTGCCTTCGACGCTAGTGCCCTGACTGGTTTGTGTCTCTGTGACTCCGTCCTTCTCGGTTCTTCAAGAGGACCTCGTTTCCGAGGACAGCGGGCAGTCTGGGAGGAAAGTCCTTTGAAGCCAGTCGTCTCGGTTGTTTTGTTTGGTTACTTCTGTCTTTTGGGGAGAGGTCATTAGGCGTTGATTTGTTTTGACGAAGGTACTGGGGATTGAACCCAGGAGCTCGTGCATGCTGGGGGCGGGCTCTGCCACTCAGCTGTACCCTCCCCCCGAATCTTGGCTGTTTTTGCAGACTGCTGCAGGGCACTTGTAAGACTTCTTGTAATAAATCACACTTGACATGCCACACGCAGCTGGACGTGTGCGGGGGCCTGCAGACGCATGGCCTTTGCCGCCTCTGCGCTCAGCATCCTGCTCCCAGGGTGGCTCTGGGTGCTGGGGGCAGTGGGCACTTGGGTGGTGTCTGAACGAGCGAGTGGGTATCTGATGCATGAAAGGAAGAGTGAGCTACAGCCACTTAGATGTCAGTGGTTTTCACTGACTGTCTCTGCTCACGATGGAAGGTGAAGAGCTGCCTCTGAGTCCCCTCGACTTTGCTACTGGGCGTGGTTTCCACGGGCACCGTCTGATGTCTTTGGTCTCATGTCCGGGCTCCCAGCAGCAGTATGTCACCCGTGAGTCACTCACTTGAACCTCTCCTGCCTGTCTTTCCACAGTGTGTTGAGGAGATCCTCGGGTACCTGAAGTCCTGCTTCAGTCGGGAGCCGACGATGGCGACTGTGTGTGTCCAGCAGGTGAGAAGGTGGTGTGTCTGAAGCCCTTCACTGGGCGCGGTGATGTAGTGCTGCCTGTCACTGGGAGGTGGTGCCGGTGGCATGCCTGGCAGCCCCACGCGTCACTCCTTTGCTCTCTGCGTTACTGGACCAAGAGGGGTCCTCCTCCCGCCCTCCCTCTCCTGGAGGGGAGGCCGACGCCGTGGAGGGCAGAGGGCACGAGAAGCTGGACCCTCACTGCTTACCTGCTGTCCCAGTGTCCCTGCAGTGCCCCCCACAGCCTGGGTTTGCTGATTGTAGCCAGTTGCCTACGGGTGGATTTGAGATTTGGCTGGGGGGGGGGGTCTTAAAGTGTTGCTCGTGCTACGTGAAGTCCAGCGTTGATGGTTTCAATCCTTTCCCTCTAGTTGTTGAAGACCCTCTTTGGGACAAACTTGGCCTCCCAGTTTGATGGCTTGTCTTCCAACCCCAGCAAGTCTCAAGGCCGAGCGCAGCGCCTTGGCTCTTCCAGCGTGAGGCCCGGCTTGTACCATTACTGCTTCATGGCTCCATACACCCACTTCACCCAGGCCCTCGCCGATGCTAGCCTGAGGAACATGGTGCAGGCCGAGCAGGACCACGACACCTCCGGGTAACCTCCCACTGTTCTGGCCGCAGCAGTGGGGTCAGGATGCGTCTTTAGTAGAAGAGTGAAAGAGCAAGCAGTGAATAATTTGTAAAAAATAAATTAGCCAGCACCTTCTAATAGTTTTTTGTGTTCAGAGAGCTCTGGGAAGCATGATTGCTGCAAAGATGCTGAAGGCATGGCCCCTGCCTTCAGAGAAGTGGGCAGTCCAGGGAGTGAGACGAGGTCTGGGGCTTTTACTATCTCAGAGAGGCTGGGCTGGAGGAAGAGGAGCACAGAGCAGCTCCCTGGGGGCGGCGAGGGCCCCCGCCCGACGGTGCCAGTGAACCAGAGGGGGCCACGCAGAGTCCTCAGGTGGCCAGGCACGGCGAAGTAACCGGGCTCGTGAACAACGCTCCCTTTAGAGCGGGGCGCTGTGTGTTGGTGGCACTTTTGGGGCTGGTAGCTGAGGTGACCCGGTGGTGCCAGTGCGTCAGGGTATTTGGGGAGCATAGAAGAATCCTGGGTGGTAGAGCTCTGTTTTGTAACTTTGTGGCTGAAAGTCTTCACTTAAATTTATGGTTGTGTTTGTGAGGCCCGGAGTTACAGTAGTTGTTTCTTAAATTGCTATGAATTATTCGCAGATACTTGAGCTCCTGCTCTGTAGTGACAGTGGAATTCCTTGTGTTTCTCTGCATAGATGCAGGGGTGGAACAGCTGCGGTTCAAGTGCTGCAGCAGTTTATGAAAATGCCCCATGTGTGGGGCTTTACGTTGGTGCCCTTCGTACAGTTTCTCAAGTTTCAGAAACAAGGCTCTCTAATACCTTGTCTAATAACGTGGGGATAAATAAGACAAGTGTCTGATTATTGTCATTTAATTCTGTATCTGTTTCACAAAAAGGAAAGGGCATGTATAATTGATGTAAATATTTAAAGAAAGTTTTTCCCAAGAAAATCAAGTGATGTCTTCTAAGTCACTGAGTCTTTCAAGTGACTGTCACCTCTCAGCCCCACCGCAGACTGGGCCGAGCAGTGAATTTCTGTGGCAGAGGAAAGCTCTGTCTGCGGTGGCCTGCTTCGGGCGACAGGATTTGATGGCTGTCAGTCAGCTGTAAACTCTGTTTTGACTGATTATCTTCATTCAAAGAGGAGTCTGGTGCTGCCGCGTGGAGTGGCTGTAAAGGTCTTTCTGACTTTGAAGCGCTCTGCTTTTGTGAGTGGGAATCAGTGTGGCCTGGAGGGCAGCTGAGCGCCCAGGAGAGGACTAAGGGTATTCTCTGCCCACCTCTTCTCCTGTCTGGCAGGTGGTTTGACGTGCTCCAGAAGGTGTCTACCCAGCTGAAGACAAACCTCAGCGGCGTCACGAAGAACCGTGCAGACAAGGTGGGGGCCGGCAGCCGCACACGGGTGCCGTCCCGGGGCCGGCTCCTAGCCCGCTGCGGTGAAGACTCACCCGTGATTCTCTGTCTTTTTTCCGCAGAATGCTATTCATAATCACATTCGTTTATTTGAGCCTCTTGTCATAAAAGCTTTAAAACAGTACACGACCACAACCTCGGTGCAGTTACAGAAGCAGGTTTTGGATTTGCTGGCACAGCTGGTTCAGTTGCGGGTTAATTACTGCCTCCTGGATTCCGATCAGGTCTGTCACTTTTCTCTTTTGTCTGCCACGCTCGTTCATAATTTCATAAAGGTCATCTTAAAAAGACACTGCAGACTACCTTCAAGAAGTGTGCGGTTTGTTTTCCCACTGTCGCTGCCTCCCTCCTGCCTCATGTGCTCGTGGATGCAGAGGGCCCGGCCTGTCCAGTCCTTGGCCCAAGCTTGCCCCGTCCAGGGTCAGCCACTCCCCATCTGCCAAAGGTTCTTCCCACCCACGCACCCTCCCCCACTCCAAGGTAAACTTGAATTTAAATTGTAGGATGTAATTGAGATTTATCGTTTGGGGGGACACTTTGCAGAACCCAGAGTCTTATTTTAAACTGACGAGCAGCTGTGATGCTCCGTCTCACAGTCTGGAGGTAGCTCCCGGCTTTGACAGGAGCGCGGTCTCCCAGGGCAGCCCTGACGCGTGCTCCTGCAGTCCCTGGTGGCTGTGTCTGGGCCGGCCTGAGCGCTGCTGGACCTCAGCTGCTGCCCCTTCCTCAGGCACAGGTGACTCTGGAAGTCGTGTCAACTTCGTGATGCAAATTCTCCTACAGCAGGATTCACGCCGGCTAAATTCCCTGCAGATGCAGCGGCCTTTAGGTCATCAGATGTGGGTGTGGAGAGAGGAGGTGCAGCATGCCCCACGCCCCTCCGCTCTCTGCAGGTGCACAGAAGCCTGCAGCTCGCCCCCAAGGCCTCCGTGATCTCTTTGCTGGCAGTGTCAGGTTTTCTTGCCATGAGCACTCGAGCCTCACTCACGTTAGTTGTGATTTGCATTTATCACTCAGCACCCCTTCTCCCTGGTTCCCAGATTCAGTACAGTGACAGTTTTTTGAACAAGGAGGGAAAACTGGAATAGGGAAGTGGTTTCACTCGGGCCAGATGGTGACTTCTGAGCACTGCTGTGTGTGTCTCGCCCAGGGGCTGGGAGAGCACGTGGAGCAAGTCCCATGCTTCTGGTGGGACACAGCCTGGTGCTTGGAGCAAAACTGGCCCTGATCCAGGCCTAACGTCCTGCCTCTGCTCCTCGCGGCCACCCCTCACCCTCAGCACCCCCTCGGATTCCCGCTCCTTCAGATCCTGGGGTGGTGGGAGGGAGGAGATGGGCTGACTTGGGCATCTTATCTGTAAACCAGTGTCTGGAAATTCCTGCCGTTTGGTTTGCCACGAACGGGAACCAGCTAGTCCTGCTGTGTGTCTTGGGTGCTCCCTGGTGTCTCCGGGAATTTATTGTTTCCAAAGAGGTTCCACCTCCGTGTTGAGTAAATGTGTTTGAAGGGATTCCTGGAAGTGTCTTGAAGGTATCCAGTCTGACAGTAGGATGCGTTTGAGTTCTTGTACACAGACAAATTAACCTACTGTTGGCAAACTTGTTAAAGGTTTACGCAAGTGAGTGAGGGAAAGTAACCTAGTTTGCACATTAAATTGACGTGAAATTTTTATTTCCCTGCTTGTAGGTGTTCATTGGATTTGTGCTGAAGCAGTTTGAGTACATTGAAGTTGGCCAGTTTCGGTAACAGCGTTTTCTGTCTTAGAGCTCCTGTCCTTGGGATGTGACTGTGTGTAACTTCAGGTTAACATGAACGTTAGCTTAAAGGGTCGCTCGGCGTTGTTGCTAGGCATTGGTTTTAATGGAAACCTGATTAACATGCTGCGGGGTTTTATTTCCCTTAAAAATGATCAAGTATCTCGAGCCTCGTCTAGAAGTAGTTCTGCGTCTGATAATCCCACGTTGTCTGTTTTCATTTCACGTTGCAAAGCATTTCGTTGTGTTTGCCAAGTGAAATCTCATTTGATAGAACACGGGGTTTTCTTAGAGAAGACGGTTTTAGGTGTGGCTTCCTTCAGTGAAGGTGACTATTACGCACTTCACTTGCATTAACTGCAGCTTTTCCTTTTAGACAGTGAGGTTTTAATGCTTCCTGCTCTGCCAGTTGTAGGTATATAATTATTGAAAATTAAAGTTCTTCAGTTTCCGAACTACTTACTAGCAGGGAAGCAGTGCAGGAGGGCATGTCCCGAGGGCCTCATTGGCCTAGAGACCCAGTGTCTTGTTCTCACTGTGAGACACCTTGACTGTGTGGTTGGAGGCAAGTTGCTCTTCCTCCTTTGGGTCTCAGTGTCTGCAGCTGTGAGCGAAGGGGCGCGTGGAGAGGCCGGGGCTGCACCCCTGGGCACCCAGTGCC